AAGGAGCATCATTCCTGAGATTCTGAACGAAATCGGAGGGGTCCGCCGAAAGTGCATAAGCAACACCTATGCAAATTTAATGTGCATGGATGCGTACCTATATCTGGAAAAGTTCTTGACGGCGTTCAAAGGGAGTGCCATTTTCATGTTCAGGAGGTCAAGGAGCATCATTTCTGAGATTTTGAACGAAATCGGAGGGGTCCGCCGAACGTGCATATGCAACACCTATGCAATTTGAATGTGCATAGATGCGTATATCTGGAAAAGTTCTTGACGGCGTTCAAAGGGAGTGCCATTTTCATGTTCAGGAGGTCAAGGAGCATCATTCCTGAGATTTTGAACGAAATCGGAGGGGTCCGCCGAACGTCCATATGCAACACCTATGCAATTTGAATGTGCATGGATGCGTATATCTGGAGGAAAAGTTCTTGACGGCGTTCAAAGGGAGTACTATTTTCATGTTCAGGAGGTCAAGGAGCATCATTCCTGAGATTTTGAGCGATATCGGAAGGGTCCGACCATGTCCGACAAATCTGCTTTATGTGGGGCAAATTCGAATATCCCTTGTATTTAACTGTTAGCTGTTTGAAAGAGGCATATTTACGTCTGGACAACGAGTTGCGGGGAAAAGTGCTGATTTTGTTGCAGTTTTAGGAGCCGGTGATTAGGCTGGATTTTTGGGTTACTTTTTCGTTCCGATTCATGTATTTCATAGTGTTTGGCTTTTGAATATTTTAGTTCTTTCAGATAAATATTACTTGCCTTACAACGTTTGTAAAAACGTTTCATTTTTTTATAAGCCGACGTTCAGAGTCCTAAAAATACATCAGCACTACAATCATTGTAAACAAACAAATGGAGCACCACTTGGCTTTGTTCCAAGGCCATTTTTAGTTTATCTGGTGGTTTTCTTACTCTTGTACGTCGTTTTGTTGGATGTTTTGAATCCCTTAAGATTGACTTATATCATATATAAGAAGCATGTTGACTGAAAACAATCTGAAGTATCCAGGAGGCTGACAGAGGTCCTGACTCCTGAGGCGCACCTCCTGAGCAATATCAATATTGATATCAAGTCAAAGTTGAACAGGTTATGAAATTTTGGTTGATAAACGAAAGTTGATCGGGCTCATATATCAGCAAGAAAAAGTTAAATTAAAAGAGCTTATTGGCCAAAAACAAGCTATAATATTGCAGACCTTGGAGCAATACTGAAGAGCACGCTGAGCAGGATCATGCCAGAAAATGTTGACTGATGAGCGCATATTCATGTATTGGTATGAATATTGAATGATAACTTACAACAGCAAGATAAATTAGTGCTAACTATCAAGTTAGAAATCTAGAATGAATGGACTTGGGCAGTTTTACTATGCAGTATGCTTAGATGCTATGCAGATTGTATAATGTGCATCAGGTACTCTGGCTGGCAAATGAAACATGCGATCATTCCATTGCTACTGGAGGAGAAAGCTTGGATCACTAAATCCACTTTATGTTGATTTTGATGTTAATCATCACTGTATTTCTTGAAAAAGGATTGTAGTAAAATTGTCAATGTGACAATCCATGCAACGATGTGATCATATAATGTGTTCATACTTCATAGTCATTCGTGATAGTGATTATTGGTCCAATATACAATGGCAAAGCTCTCAGCCTCAGCGTTTCTTCCTGTGGATGGCAAGTACTGACTCAGAGCTTAGAAGTATTAGTTTTCATCACAGGGTTGGGATAAAAAGTACTGATGGTAATCTTCCACCAAGGAACTCTACTTTGACATGGTATGAGATGTAGGCACAAGTAGGTAGGTGCTTAGTTCCTATAGTCAGTAGTTGTGTATGTTTAGTCAGGTTAGCTTAGATTAGATTGTTAGTTTTTTTTTTAATTTGCCAAGTGTCCATAAAAATGTGACCTGAGCAATGAGCATACCTGACTAACCTGACAGCTGACCTAACCTCAATCATCACGTACATATTTGCAGCCTACCCAAGACCTGCATAGCAGTAGCACCCAGTTATAGATAGGTACTCAGTACTCACCCTAACTCAATCTTACCTGCTAACCTTCAACTTGCCAAAAGTTAGCTCACATTGCCAAGCTGCATCCAGGGAAACAGTCAACTGAGGAATTGGCTCATTGGGTGGCTAGTGTGAGTCTGTGCATTTAAAGTGTTTCTTCTCTGAAGCTGCTCAGCACTGCTGTATGTCATGTTAGATGCTCAGAAAATGTGGAAATGATTACTAAGCTACTTAAGTGCTTTGTTAATGCTCGAGACATGAACAAGTACAGATCCTGCAGGGTACAGCTATGAGTTAGGTGCTAGGTGAGTATGTTATGTGAATGTGCTGTTCCCTGTTTGACGATAGTAAGTATACAAACAAGCACAGTGTCAGTTATATTCAATCTCCACATAAACATACAACAAAAATGGCCATATAGCCTAACTCCAAAGTCCGAACACACCACAGATAACTTAAGCCTTTGCAGGCACAAAAATGTTTTGATTAACAGGACAGGTATACAATATATCCTCTGCCCTTGGGGATCTTGCTGCTAAGTTGAGGTACGATGACTGAACTTCAGGATTGATCAACCTTTTCTTAGCCACTGCTTATATACAAGAAAGACCAAATGCTTGTTTGTTTTGATTTACAGGACATGTATACAATATATTATATCCTCTGTCCTTGGGGATCTTGCTGCTAAGTTGAGGTACGATGACTGAACTTCAGGATTGATCAACCTTTTCTTAGCCACTGCTTATGTACGAGAAAGACCAAATGCTTGTTTGTAAACTGCGTTGAAAATTTAATGATCCACCTTCAATACTGACATGAAGGCACAAATGAAATAGTGAACAATATTGATATTGATATACACTGACGCTTTTCGCTTCATATTTTGTAACAAACGCGCTAAAACTGCAATATGACAGCACTATATGCTTCTTGACAAAATAAGAAAGTAGTAAAAAATTAGCCCTGATGGCATTCATTCTTGGTGGAAACGTAATTACAAAATGTTTTGTAGTAATTATTAAATTCCGGCCGAAAACAGTGCACGGTTTAAAAAAGAATCATTCCAATGACGGTCCATTCTTGCGGTCCTGAAATCGCCACTATTTCCGGCCTCTCCAACGCAACTCGTTGTCCAGACGTAAATATGCTTGAAAGAGGTTTTGACGCTTTTTTTACATTTTGGTACAGCAACGTCCCTTGGATTTCAGTATATTGTTTTTGTAGGAGGTAGTGCGAATGTCCATCATAAATATAAAGCTGTCACGTGTCAAATAGCGCCAAAATGTGAGAAAAGGTACATGACCTTGAACGACCTTGAACTTTAGATGCTCATCCTGAGAAAACTATGGGACGGCGTTAAGTACAAATTAGTTTTTTGGGATCAGCGCTTATGTTTACATCAACTCACGAGTTTTTGAAAAGTTTGGAGGGGTCCGATTTTTCCAATAAGGGTTACGGTCCAGAATATGTTAGCAGTAATACAAATGTGAATATTTTGAGAACCACTTGACGGCGTGAAATAAAAACATGATTTTCGCAATCAGGAGCTCAAAATCTATAAGCTGTGCAATTTTGAGCAAAATCTGAGGGGTCCGCGAATGTGCACGCGAATCTGAATGTGAATATAATGCAACTTTATGCACGTGGTGAAAACAGGGACGCCGGTGAAAACAGGGCGCCGGAGGGCATGAGATAGGGCACACTGCCATATCCAGTCACGTGATCTCAGGTGAAGTTTTCCTTCCTAGCACCATTCGTGACGAAGGATTCGAAGGAAGTTTTAAAATGTTTTAGTAGCTATTACAAGTTTTCAAATTTAAAATGTACTTTTAAAAGTTCGGTTAACTTCAAACCGAGCACATAAAAAATCGAGGCAGAATTGCTATATCATCTGTAAGCACGCCGTCTACCTATATGACCAGATAGTTGTCACTGCCTAGTGGTGCAGGTCGCAGGCCATGCTTTTAGAGATCCCAAAGAGATGGCGCTACGGTGCCCGTAGTATGCCCTGAGGGCCCCTGTCCGTAACGTCAAGTGACACTAAATTATAAGTAACGCATCGCAGTGTGTTTGAAAGGCTTGCAACTTTGCCTTTTATAGTATCAGGTGATTTTCTCCTAATATGCTGTTCTTTTTTTTCTTTTGACGAATGTCTTGGACACTTGTATTCACATCTGTCAGTATCATATTGCAAGGAACGTAGTTAGAAGTTCACAATCCATTGCCGCAAACAGCGCCCCCTAGAATACTTCCGCTGGGCTAGGACGCCACCTATGAATGCGAGGTCTGCGCGGAATGAGTGCACAATCGAAAAGTATTTATGGCATACGCGTAATTGCAACTATGGACTATATCTACCAGGTACGTTAAGGCACAAAGATTGATAGACAAGTCATTTATTTTTTTCTGAGCCGCCACCCATTAGCAGGTGACCAGGAGTGCCCCCTCCCCCCTTCGCAATTGCAATGCATTAGTTATGCTATGCTATGTACGTGCCTAATGTTATAAGCTACGTTAGTTATTGTCATTAGTTATGCTGTGATGCCCATATGTGTCGTCCAGTCCATTGATGTGGTGTTCACACTTCACATGTTTTGCTGTCTAAGGTCTTGTTGCTTGTCACATAACTAGTGACATACCTATGACGATTTACCACATACCGTTCCGTCGTTTCCTTTCCATCCTAAGGACATTCAAACCCTTCTTCTCCACGCCTCAACCCCCTGGTCCGGGCTGGACGGGCAACTTTATTCCATGCGGGATTGCCCATAAGCCGAGCACGCCCGTAGCCTGGGGGCTGGGTGGCCTGCCCATTTAAATGGGCTCAGCCCCGGCGACTCACTAGGGTGCTCGCCCCATGCCCCCTCCCCCCAAGTCATATCATCCTCCCGGCTCTGCAATGGTCTCATCGGACCGAAAGGGCCTAACCCAACGAAACAAACAAACAAACAAACAAACAAACAAACAAACAAACAAACAAACAAACAAACGGTTTATCACGCATCTCATATCACCGTTAAGGCAGCATCGGAAGCAAATTAGCGATGCATTCCATTGTCAGCATCACTCTAGAATGTGACAAAACATTGTGTGACTTAGTCCGACATCAAAGCAATAACTTCCGCGGACCAGCCGCGATGCGTGGCTGGTAATCACTGCGCCCAATGATCTGACTCGCTTCATTGTTCAGTGACCGGTCATCTATCACCCACCCTCAGCGCGCAGCGCTTCGCCGGATTCCACGCTGACCAAGCCACCGTTCTCGACACCGTCGCGCCGCTGCCGTGAGACGGCAGGGAGGAACCACCAGTGCTCGTAGAGTTTGTCATGCCGCATAGTTCTCTCCGGATGTCCATGCTGTGAGAAGATGGGTTGCGCAAGTGGTCAGATTTCCATCAGTTAATACTTAATTTGTTCGACACAGATATAATATAAGTTATAACTAGGTAACACGTGAAATAAAGCATGGAGAGTGAAATAAGCACACAACATAAGAAGAACTACTCATAAATGTCATTACACTTGGTCACTCCACATAACCACTTACGTTTTCTACTATGTTGATGTGCTCTCTCTGGCAGGCTGTGGCTTGCTGCGGCACACGGGGCAGAGCCATTCTGCATCTTCAACTGCAAAGGGAAAAAATATTAGCAGTTTTCACGACGGGCTGTCCGGCGAATGCACCCAATTCTCACCAAACCTGCCCCTATTATCACTTTATCGCCAAATTGTCCAAAATTGTCCAAATTGTCTTAAAACCAAACATGTCCCTCTTCTCATGCTGATGTAGGAATGTGGTGTTATTTTATTTTAAAAGCTTACCATGTTCATGTCTCAGATATTGTAAAAGCGAGATTGAGGTAGTTAAAAACACATTAAACATTCATAAAACAGCAAAACTCAACAACAACACTCTTCCTCTCTCTCTAACACTATTAGTTCCTTCACGGTATATAGAGTACTAGGTAAAACCGGTTCGAAATTACAACACTAAGGTATTTTGACCACTATTTTCAGCTGACCCTTTAAGTCTAAAAAAGAGAACTAAGCAACAAATTTCAATGAGTTTTATTATTTGTATATATATTTTTGATTTATGATCAGAGACCACGCCATGTATGAATCTGTGAAGCATTAACGAAAATAAATTGTTGGCTATCTCCGCCATTTCAAAAATTATATATCTTAAGTTGCAAGGATTGTTCATTAACAAAATCAATTTTTCACAATCAAAATTTAAAATTGAAGGATAAAAAGTAATATCAAAGGCCAACTCCCTTTTGTTGAATTTCAAAATTACCATGGTTCTGAGCTGTTCAGCCTACCGGACCTGCCAATGCTCTACCATGAATTGTCGAGTAACTTCAGTGATGTGGGGCTTACAACATGGTCAAAAAATATCAAAATTGAATTATCTATCAGATTCTGTGCCTTTTGTTGCCTTTTAAAGGTTGGAAACTGTGTTTAGTTGATGTTCAATACATAACCACCATTGCTGTCCATGGTCACCCTGTTCCACTATATGTAATGATTCTCAAAAACTAGATCGATGTGGGGTCTAAATATTTCACTAAAATTAACAGAATCGCTTACATTATAACATATTAAAACTTCAAAACGTAAGAAACGCGGGAACTTTAAAAGATTTACGTCTAATTCTAAAACTTCAAATTTTGAATACAAAACAGTTCTGGACGAAAACATAGCTAGATGGCGAACTAGTCATTGTTGGGCTCACAAAGACCCTTTATTGAAATATAAATTCAATTTTCTTCCAAAATATGTATGATTTATTGCAGTTTAAGAATTAAAAGATGCATTATTTTGGTCTGGTATGCGTTGGCTTCCTTGCCGCCTAAGGTCACACGGTGAGAGTTAATGGCATATTAATAGAAAACAAGACCGATGTGGGGTCTATTTAAAGCATGATAGTAAACAAAATTGAATTTTGTATCTATTGGTATAGGTTTTTAAACAAAATAAACGCGGGAACTTTACGAAACGTGGTATTGAAAACTGCCGACCATAATTATCACCCGCAGTTGCGCGCAGTTTTCTGTACTGCTATCGCTAGCAAACGCCAGCTTTTGTATTTGATTGGTTTAACGGCGTTTCTCTTACTGATTGAGAACACTTTTAAGTTTCAAGCTATTCAGCATGGCTTTGGATTCAACTCAATGCGCTCAAGGCTATAAACATTTTCAAATTGAATGAATTTTCTTGTTGGATTTGTTTTTGATAGGCCACGGAACAGGAAGCGGATTTTGAAATGTATTTTTATTGTGAGTTTATCTGTGCCGGGTGGGGTGGATTTGTGTCAAGTTTCTTTTCTGTGGTTAGTTGAGATACAAATCAAAATAGTTTTATATTGATTTGCCATCGGAATTATTAGGTAGGTACCTATCTGTAAAAAGCCTGGAGTGCTTCCTTCTGTCGTGCCTTCTGTCCTAGTCTTTATTCAGTCGGACTGCCGATCTTGAGGCCAACACAACCCTGTAAGCCGAGAGATGCTGTGCATTAGACAGAGCAAATCACAGTGCCAGTCGTTACATCTTTACACTATCCTACGAAGTATGTAGTCTACCTGAAGTCAAGTCTATATAAACCCCTCACCCAGATTCATTTTGGTCCTCTGCTCTCTTGTTTCCATGATCCTGATCCTCTCCTTCTCTTCTGCGTCTCAATCTCCTGCTTCAGGTTGAGACCCTGCTTTGGTTGGCCATTTCGAGTTGTGCTTTTGGAGCTTGCAGCAATGCGTGTTACAAGTAACTCACCAGAAAAGATGATGCTCTGAGAATTAATAAACAAAAGCCCACAAAGTCCTGTAATTGACAAGTTACATGGATAAGTTTGAGTTATATCATTAAAAAAGTCTTGCAATGTGTGTTAGCGATCATGAACTACATGCCCTCCGCGGGCTTTGTCCACCTCTCCCAAACATCCACCCTGCTAAGGGTTGGACAGACAACTCCCATGGGGGAAGCCTGGAGGTTCCCCCAGGGTCCAATCTTATAAAATGTCTTACTATTCTATTCACGGCATTTGGTAACATTTATGGTGATGTCAGTGCTGTCAGTGCTGAGTCTGGGTGACTGAGTCTTGACAACTCACCTCAACCTGGGTGTCTGCCCAGACCAATGTTTCCTCATAATGTCTCCAGGTCTCCACTGCTCTCCTCGCCTGTTTCAGCTGTCTACTAGAGATGCCAAAAATTTGCAATTTCATTACCCGCCCCGCCCCGCAGCTACCCCTTGCCCAACCACAACTACCCGCAAGCTGATTTTGGCTGAGCCGAACCCGCAAAAAACCCGCAATTTTGAAAACCTGCTTTTGCAAGAAAAAAAATACAGCTGGGTCAATGCTAGAGCTATATAAACCTTACTTGCTTCATTGCTGTGCAGAAAAAGAGCCAAACAAATAGTAAGGACTTGAAATTGCTATGCTAAGTCCTCAGGAAGTGCACACTGGATAGTGGAAAACGAATAATGCATCAATACATTTGAAATTCCTTTCTGAAAAGAGTTCAGTAAAATCTTTCTCTCACCTTACCCTTCAGCATTGGCTGAGGATCAAAATTTTACTCTGGCTCCCTCTCAATGTTAGGCTTCTGGAATGATATTGTTATCAAAATGAATGTTGATATAAAAGATATGCGATTTCCAGTTAAAAATAAATAGTGACACGGTGAATAATAAGTATCCAGTCGATCTACACATAAAACAAATCATGCAAAATCCCAGCACTGAATAACTCAAGATACCTATAAGAAACGAATAACTCAGGGGGTGTCGAAGTCTAGTAGGAAAATCTGGCAAATTCCCTGCGTGACGTCACGTCGGGGATGACCGACGGCACCTTGCACTGAAAGATACGGCAGAACGGCTATTTTTGAAAAATGATTAAAAATACTTTTGTGCTGTTACGACGCATAAAACGCTTATCAGCATGTTCCTCATCATGTGATAAAGGCATATCCGTGGTCGAAAATAGCTGAGCCCCTCCCAATTTCCAACCACCGACCTCATAAGCAAAGGATGTAAGCGTAATCCTTAAGGGCGACTTTCCTATACATATCCGTACATATGCGTCCTTATGGAAATCGGTAGTGTGGCGATTGGCGACGCGCGCGACATCTGTGTGGCGACCAAATGGCGACTGTGGCGACACCTGGTGGCTGCTTTTCTGCTGTATGTAGGCATTGGGGTTTTGCCAGATGTGGTTCCTACTGCTACACCACTATGTTGACCCAATACTAGAAAAGTTATTTTGCTAGTAAAAGGCAAGCAAATTGAAAGTTGATTTATAAAATTGCTTATAAATGATTACGAGATAATAATAAAGAAATTTTGATTGAATAATTATTTAAATAATCAACCGTGAAACTATATTCTGGTAGGTTTAGTAGAAATAAGTCCGTGCAACCTTGTATTTAGGGCCTTGGAATAACTAACCACCACAGGGGAGCAATGCCGCTTCAACCCTATTGGCCGTAGTGTCTAACGGTGGCGGCCATATTGCGCAGACCAGAAACCGGCTGCCGCCTGTGTTGAGGAATAGGGAATTCGGGACCTCGATTTACGTTTGCGGCCGCCGTATCCGTTACGTTCAAGTTACGTAGATACGGAACCCGGCATCTTACGCAGAATTGTGTGGGGAACACGATCGTATCTTCAGAACTCCTCAAATTCACTCTACTGACCTACATTTGCCCCGGCCGAGGGGGTTGATTGAACCCACCTCGCTAATGCACCGCTAATTAAACTAGAATTAAGCGGTAAAGTGGTCGTATGCGGCAAATTATAATGCAGAGTGACTGGTAGGAACCCGCTGTAAGGGTCTCAGGTCAACCGGTGACCTCTGAGGTCAGGTCAAGTGATCTAAGGCACGGGTTCGGTTTTTGGTAAATAGCTTCGCCAAAAATGGCCGTAGAGCCGCGATTTTGGCATCATCGTGTTCAGCTAGCTCAGGCGCATTGAGTGATATACTTTTTGTTCGGGTCAGGTCAACTTAGGGTGTTGACCTCAGGTCAAGGTCAGGTCAGCACCCCAGGTCACGAAGTTGGTCGAAAGAGGTCATGTCGCATATCATTCGATTCGGCAGGTCTTCCTGAGTCCATTGGTGGCTTTCCCGACTCGCTAGCTCAATTTGATCGGAAGTTATTGAAGAAAAATTGTGACCCTTGTGACGTCACAGATGACGTCACGCAAGGGCAACAATGCAAATATGAAGCATAGAACCTTGCAAAAAGTGCATGAAATCATGATTCTATATGCTTGAGATAGTTTCAGATCATTCTCGGCGCCAAAATAGCAATTTTCATATTTCCCCATTGACTTATAAGGGTTTAACGTATTAGTTCCTTGTAGCTGAGGATTTTTTAGGATTTCATCTTGTTCTCCACTCAATTCTGCGTAAGATGCCGGGTTCCGTGTCCACATAGCTTGAACGTAACGGATGCAGCGACCGCAAACGTAAATCGAGGTCCCGAATTCCCTATTCCCCAGCACAGGCGGCGGCCGCTTTCTGGTCTGCGCAACATGGCGGCACCGTTGGACACCATTTGGCGGCCGATGCGCATTCCACATTATAGAGTTCAGTGCTAACCACCAATGAACCACGCGTTTCTGGAAACATGCGTCAGAAGCGTCACCAACAGCTGATTGCAAAGAATGTTACAGCGACTAAATTATTGCGGCCGTAGTTAGTGCGAACTTGTTGCGAAAACACCGATGTATAATGCATATTCATGTGCCATTCTGATAAAGTTATTTTACACAACAGCTAAAGTTTTACCATTTAGAGGTTAATAACCGGTTAAGAAATAAAGAGACAGTAAATACTAAATTAAATGTAATAATTTCATACATGGTCTTGGTAATGCTCTCCGGCTCTCTCGTCATACAAATGATAAGCACGTAAAAAGACAAAAGAAATAAATGCGACCAGCTACTTGGTTTTGTATGTAACATGTATAACTGGTATTTTGAGGTATTCAAAAACCAAGACAGAAAAATTGATTGTAAAATTATTGCGTCATCAATGACAGCTTTCCATTGCCTCAGAGACCAAAATTGACGCAGTCAAATGCCAATCCTTGTCAGAATGTCGGAAGTGCGCCAGTATTGTATTGCGTTATATTCCATTGACCTCTATAGTAACCTAGACGGACGACTGCCGCGCCGCAGTTGTTCCCGCATGGGGGCGCAGTGGCGCCACCTGCAAGTGGTCAGAAGTTCCCGGTCCCCGTAGACGGTCCATGTTACGTGGGTAACTTTTGAAGTCGATTTTTATGCCAGATACAGCATGCGGATGGCTGAAAGGGATTGTTTTATAACTAAACATGCTTTCTTAAGGCGTGGGTGTCTTCGATTACCAACAGGATGGCTCGAGCCATGTAATCAAGTGCATTATTTCAGATGACCCGGACTCTGGCAGTGCATAGCGTATCGAAGCGTAGAGAGGCTCCCTGCCATAGGTAAGGCCATGCAGTGTACCAGGAACGTACTTGCTCTTTCTACTCAGGTGGCAAAAGCGAAAAGATGATCATTCCAGATCGATGGTGATCTATTTAACCCTCGCCCGTATAGGGGGGGGGGGGGTCGAACGGACCCCCCTATGGTTTTTCGCGAATAACTCGCGTAAAAAGCGGCCGATCGCGACGAAACTTTCAGTACCCTCGCGTTCATCAATTTCACACCTACCCTGAAATTTCATGACCCTGACCCAAATGACCTTTGACCTGTGACTTACTATTCGAGACCATGTTTGGCTGGAATCGCAATTCGGCGTATGTCGGCTCGCATTAGCCGCGCGTTTGCAGTCTTTTCGTGGTTTCAAGCGTTCAAACATGTGATATGATGTTGCTCCCATGCATTAGGGTGGGTGTCAAGGTCACCTGAAGGTCAGGTCAGGTCATTGACCTTTGATGACCTCGGTTCACTTTTTCGAGTTTTACATGTTTCTAGGCCAGTTTTTGGAGCTGAATTCGAATTTAGCAACCATATGAACATTTACGAAGTAGTTTTGGTGCCTTCGTAACATGTTACGAAGCTGTCAGAGGCGGTTGCCACCTACTACGAATACCCTTACTGCAGTTGACCCGACCTGACCTGACCCGACCTGGCCTAAATACATGAAGACATCATCTGTGATCGATCAAAACTAACATGATATTCGTGATCAGCACCCCGAAAAACTTCATGGCAGCCACACTTTACGACGTTCTAACAGGGCCCGATTTTCCCGCCTTTGGGGTCATTGACCTGACCTGCAAGGTCAACCAATGACCTAGGACCTTAAAATTGGGTATCATCGGCTTCCTCTCGTCACGGGCAACACGCTCGTTTTTTCCGCGAAGCTCTAGCTCGATCAGGGGCGAAACGGCAAGAGGGGGTCCAACGGACCCCCCCCCCCCTTATACGTTCGCGGCTGGAAAAACACCAATACGGGCGAGGGTTAAGCACTGGCAGACTATCAGGGATGGAATTGCAAGTAGACGAGAGGAAACCGATGATACGCAATTTTAAGGTCCTAGGTCATTGGTTGACCTTCCAGCCGGGCAGGTCAATGACCCAAGCGTCGGAAAAATCGGGACCTGTTAGAACGTCGTTAAGTGTTGCTGATATGAGGTTTTCGGGGTGCTGATCACGAATATCATGTTCATTTTTATCACAGATGATGTCTGGATGCATTTAGGCCAGGTTGGGTCAGGCCAGGTCAACCAGTAGGGGTCCTGCCGGGTATTCCCAGACCCCAGTAGGTGTCAACCGCCTCTGACAGCTTCGTAACATGACACGAAGGCACCAAAACTACTTCGTAAACGTTAAAATAATTGTTAAATTCGAAAATCAGCTCCAAAACTAGCCTACAAACATGTAAAACTCGAAAAAGTGAACCGAGGTCATCAAAGGTCAATGACCTGACCTGACCTTCAGGTGATCTTGACACCCACCCTAATGCACGGGAGCAGCATTTTACCACGTGTTTGAGCGCTTGAAACCACGAAAAGACTGCAAACGCGCGGCTAATGCGAGCCGACATGTGCCAAATCGCGATTCCGGCCCAACATATGGTTTCGAAAAGTAGATCACAGGTCAAAAGGTCATTTGGGTCAGGGACTCAGGGTCATGACATTTTTAGGGTAGGTGTAAAACTGATTTACGCGAGGTTACTGAAAGTTTCGTCGCGATTGGTCGGTCGCTTTTTACGCGAGTTATTTGCGAAAAGCTGAGGAGGTGGGGGCCGGGGGGGGGGGGGGTCCGTTCGACCCAACCCCCTTTCGGTTGCTAATTGATCATCTTTTGCCACTTGAGTAGGAAGCGGGTACGTTCCTGGTCCCGCATGGCCTTACCTACGGCAGGGAGCCTCTCCACGTTTCGATATGCTTTGCACCATGCCAGCGTCCGGGTCATTTGAAATAATGCACTTTATTGCATGGCTCGAGCCATCCTGTTGGAAATCGAACACATCACATCTTAAGAAAGCATGTTCAGTTACATAACAATCCTTTTCAGCCATCCGCAGGCTGTATTTTTCAAAAAAATCAACTTAAAAAGTTACCCACTTAACATGGACCGTCTACCGGGACCGGGAACTTCTGACCACTTGCAGGTGGCGCCACTGCGCCCCCATGCGGGAACGATTCCGTGCCGGCCGCGGCGCGGCAGTCGCCCGTCTAGTATCGGGGTTACATGAGCACAGTAAATACGTATTTAGCCGCTAATTCGAATTAGGAACGCATTACCGACTCATGTAGCCACCTGCTAGTACGAATCGGCGATCCGATCCGCGGTTACATGAGCAAAGCAAATACGTATCACGATCGGATTCACCGCTAATGCGAATCAGGAGCGTACTACCGACTCATGTATCCACCTGCTAATACGAATCGGCGGTCCGAACAAAATCCGCTGGGAAAGAGGCTTAGAAGCGAATAGGACCAAGATACGTATTACAGGAACTATTTCTTCGCAAAAAGAAACATTAAAATGCAAAATAATAGGTATTTTTTTCATTTTCTTCTTTTGAAATAATATTTAAAAAAATATGTTGGTATTTTGTCAAGTTTTCAACAATAAATATAGTGAAAACCAAATAGTAAATATCATCATAATTTCAGTTGAAACATTTTTCTGACAGCACTACAGACGGATCAAGAGAGGCAATTGCCCAATGAGTCAAAGCAAGACAATTTTATGTTCAACTTTTTTTTGTTAAGTTAATTGAGAATGTTTTGAGCAGATTTAATGCAAAAAAGACATAAGATAATAAATTTTTAATTTAGTCACCTCTATTGCTACGGAACTGCGCCACATTTGTATGCTATTCCGTTTGTAATGCGCATCGGGCCGAGAGCCAAACTAAATCCGTTTGACGTCACTGATACGAATTTGCTCGTGTAGTCGGTGCACTGAATGCGTTCTTGGGGAGCTTATGCGAATTATCGTAGTGCGTATTTGGAACGGATCGCTATATTATAAAAGAGATCGCTGATATTATAAAAGAGAAGTTGTCTGTGTGTCACAAACGAAAAGTGTCATCCACATCTGGGTGTCTTGCGCCGGAACGGCGCCATGTAGGGGCGTGAAATTTGGCAGTCGACAAGCGCGGTCAAATCGAACGATCGTATCAAAATCTGGGTGCGATCCGACCAGGGGTGCGTCTCTGACAGGGTCGCGAGCACGAGGCACGCTCGCCATTGGTTTAACACGGGGCGCCCTGTTTTCACCGGCGTCCGAAAACAGGGCGCCTGGGGCGTTTTGATCAAGGCTCTTGAAATTCGCTTTCGTGGAGCACGTGACCGAGATTTCGACTTGGCCCATGGGTGGTTTTTTAGCTATTACCTGCTACGGTGAACCAGAATTTAATTTATACATTCATTGCGCGGCTGTTACAAAGAGTGATACACACACATTGGGCACACTCTGAACCAAGGCTATATAAACCAGGTAGAACGCTCCCGAAGAAAAAGTGGCGACAAGCAATATTTAGTTGCCGCGACCCTCACTTGTTCAAGACTATATCCGCGAGCAGCATTTACAAGCTAGCGGAAATTGACCAATCAGCGTTCGGCAATACTCAACGCTGATTGGCCCGATGCTCGTGACGAAATTGCGGGGGACTGCAGCTATTCCCCTATGGCGTTTCATTGACTTATGACTTTTGAAGGGGATTTGTATCAGTTTTGTTGGGTTTGAGGCCATTTTTGAGCTTGGATATTCTTTCTGTGACCTTTGACTATATAATAACGACATTTAATCATGACATTTCTATATACCACCGGTGTCACATCGGCCAAAAAGACCGTAAGTACATGGGATAGACGGACCACTGCTGATGGGGCCACACATGCCGGCGTGTGGTCATCGGAGGCCCATGAGGGCTCGACATGGGCCCTTTATGGGTCGGTATAGGCCCAGTGGGTCCAGTGCAGGCCTACCAGGGGCCGGTGGCATATAATGTAAGGCTGTCTCGGGACGTTGAGGGCTCATGGGGGCCATATAGGACCATTAGGGACCACATAAGCCAATCAGGGGTCCATTTAGGCCAATAAAGGCGCTTCGGGGACTTGAAGAGGCCATTCAAGAGCCGAGGTGGGCCCATGAGGGGACGGCATTGGTCCATCAGGTGCAGTCAGGGGATGTTGTACGGGTTTCTCAGTGACCCATTTGGGCATATCAGTGACCAATTTAGACCCAGCAGGGGGCTTTGTAGACCTAATCAGGGGCTGGTGATGGTTTATCGGGGGCCAGCGTTAGTCCATCGGGGCACAGCATATGCCCATCAGAGGTAATTGCGGGCCCACGCTGAACAATGATGGCCCTTCAGGCTTCAACGGCCCCTAATGGATCTAGATTGACCCATGTTCCATGATGTGTCATGTATGCCCCTATGGTAGGCCTACTCAGACCCCGGATGGACGTTCCCGGCCTCTGATGACCCTATACTGAATCCTGGTGGGGCTCTAAGAGTCTCCAATAACCCTTCTTCAGCCCATTATTACCATATGCTGGCACTAGAGGCCCCACATCAGCCGCAGGGCAGTCCGTGCCAAGACAGCATGTCTTTTCGGCCGATATTACATCGGTAATATTAATTAAAATCATGATTTTATGGTGCCATTATATAGCTAACAGTCATAAGAAATATATTTCAACTCGAAAACAGCTCGAAACAGCATATAATCGTAAAGAAACCCCTCCGAAATCCAAAAGCCTATTCGGGTCCATAGAGAATAACTGCGGTCCCCCGCAATTTCGTCACGAGCGTCGGGCCAATCAGCGTCGAGCACTGCCGAGCGCTGATTGGTGGATTTCCCGCTAGCGCGTGAGTGCTGCTCGCGGAACAAGAGTTCGTCGACAATCCTCCACAAACGTCTGTCACCACTTTTCGTAATGCTAAACAGCCGGAGCGTACCCCCCTGCTCTGAACTAAGGAACTAATAGTGTTAGAGAGAGAGGAAGAGTGTTGTTGTTGAGTTTTGCTGTTTTATGAATGTTTAATGTGTTTTTAACTACCTCAATCTCGCTTTTACAATATCTGAGACATGAACATGGTAAGCTTTTAAAATAAAATAACACCACATTCCTACATCAGCATGAGAAGAGGGACATGTTTGGTTTTAAGACAATTTGGACAATTTTGGACAATTTGGCGATAAAGTGATAATAGGGGCAGGTTTGGTGAGAATTGGGTGCATTCGCCGGACAGCCCGTCGTGAAAACTGCTAATATTTTTTCCCTTTGCAGTTGAAGATGCAGAATGGCTCTGCCCCGTGTGCCGCAGCAAGCCACAGCCTGCCAGAGAGAGCACATCAACATAGTAGAAAACGTAAGTGGTTATGTGGAGTGACCAAGTGTAATGACATTTATGAGTAGTTCTTCTTATGTTGTGTGCTTATTTCACTCTCCATGCTTTATTTCACGTGTTACCTAGTTATAACTTATATTATATCTGTGTCGAACAAATTAAGTATTAACTGATGGAAATCTGACCACTTGCGCAACCCATCTTCTCACAGCATGGACATCCGGAGAGAACTATGCGGCATGACAAACTCTACGAGCACTGGTGGTTCCTCCCTGCCGTCTCACGGCAGCGGCGCGACGGTGTCGAGAACGGTGGCTTGGTCAGCGTGGAATCCGGCGAAGCGCTGCGCGCTGAGGGTGGGTGATAGATGACCGGTCACTGAACAATGAAGCGAGTCAGATCATTGGGCGCAGTGATTACCAGCCACGCATCGCGGCTGGTCCGCGGAAGTTATTGCTTTGATGTCGGACTAAGTCACACAATGTTTTGTCACATTCTAGAGTGATGCTGACAATGGAATGCATCGCTAATTTGCTTCCGATGCTGCCTTAACGGTGATATGAGATGCGTGATAAACCGTTTGTTTGTTTGTTTGTTTGTTTGTTTGTTTGTTTGTTTGTTTGTTTGTTTGTTTCGTTGGGTTAGGCCCTTTCGGTCCGATGAGACCATTGCAGAGCCGGGAGGATGATATGACTTGGGGGGAGGGGGCATGGGGCGAGCACCCTAGTGAGTCGCCGGGGCTGAGCCCATTTAAATGGGCAGGCCACCCAGCCCCCAGGCTACGGGCGTGCTCGGCTTATGGGCAATCCCGCATGGAATAAAGTTGCCCGTCCAGCCCGGACCAGGGGGTTGAGGCGTGGAGAAGAAGGGTTTGAATGTCCTTAGGATGGAAAGGAAACGACGGAACGGTATGTGGTAAATCGTCATAGGTATGTCACTAGTTATGTGACAAGCAACAAGACCTTAGACAGCAAAACATGTGAAGTGTGAACACCACATCAATGGACTGGACGACACATATGGGCATCACAGCATAACTAATGACAATAACTAACGTAGCTTATAACATTAGGCACGTACATAGCATAGCATAACTAATGCATTGCAATTGCGAAGGGGGGGAGGGGGCACTCCTGGTCACCTGCTAATGGGTGGCGGCTCAGAAAAAAAATAAATGACTTGTCTATCAATCTTTACCTGGTTACCTTTATCTATACCTGGTAGATATAGTCCATAGTTGCAATTACGCGAATGCCATAAATACTTTTCGATTGTGCACTCATTCCGCGCAGACCTCGCATTCATAGGTGGCGTCCTAGCCCAGCGGAAGTATTCTAGGGGGCGCTGTTTGCGGCAATGGATTGTGAACTTCTAACTACGTTCCTTGCAATATGATACTGACAGATGTGAATACAAGTGTCCAAGACATTCGTCAAAAGAAAAAAAAAAGAACAGCATATTAGGAGAAAATCACCTGATACTATAAAAGGCAAAGTTGCAAGCCTTTCAAACACACTGCGATGCGTTACTTATAATTTAGTGTCACTTGACGTTACGGACAGGGGCCCTCAGGGCATACTACGGGCACCGTAGCGCCATCTCTTTGGGATCTCTAAAAGCATGGCCTGCGACCTGCACCACTAGGCAGTGACAACTATCTGGTCATATAGGTAGACGGCGTGCTTACAGATGATATAGCAATTCTGCCTCGATTTTTTTATGTGCTCGGTTTGAAGTTAACCGAACTTTTAAAAGTACATTTTAAATTTGAAAACTTGTAATAGCTACTAAAACATTTTAAAACTTCCTTCGAATCCTTCGTCACGAATGGTGCTAGGAAGGAAAACTTCACCTGAGATCACGTGACTGGATATGGCAGTGTGCCATATCTCATGCCCTCCGGCGCCCTGTTTTCACCGGCGTCCGAAAAATCAGTGGGCAATAAACACAAATACCACGCGTGGCCATGAAGCCCGCATCATGTTCTATTTCATAAGTATTTCATGTTTGTAAGCCTTTACTGATGATGCTAATAAGGGGAACCGACGCATGTAAAAAGGTTAATTTATAGATGTTATGATCTTCAACTTACTCTAATTTGCTTTAGATCGCTGCTATCTCTCACGAGCATCGAATCTCATCATCATTTTAAACATACATTTTTTTGCATTTGAAAGCTGAAAGCCTCTTCGCATCAAAAACATATCACTCTTTTTATTGGAGGATTTAATCGAAAGCTGAGTAAGCAGAAGACAGAACACTTGCTCACTTTTGATTACAGTTCTGGCGTCTTTTCGACATATCAAGAACAATACTCGACTGAACGTCGTATGTAGACTCGACGGACTCGACTAAAAACAAAGAGTTTTCCTCTTGCCACGCATCTCACTGGATTTTTTTTTTTCAAAGCAAATGCATTTCAAAGCAATCGTTGTTTGTAAACATGGTAAATAATAGTTGCCGTCAACCGGGCCGGGCCCAAGGCCACCGGTCGATGAATGTTTGTCTGCTTGTCTGCAGCGGCGGCGATCGTCGTTTACCACAGTTTGACCCAGGGTATATTGAGTGAAGTTTGACCACAGTAGGGGGTTGTGACTGTGAGAAGTTGTTATGGTGGAATTGGGGCGGATTTTCAATGGTTTGAGGTAAGCATGGGAATTGTGGTCAGTTTTCTGTGTACTACAACCATTCGATATCGATTATTGCTTCAGCTTGGGCTGGCTGCTATCATTTGCAGATCAATCGAAGTCGTTGTTTATGGTTGGGCTTAGGGATGAGTTAGGGCGAGTAGCCGCGGGGCCCAAGAGTCCAACGCATTTTGAGGTCAATATGTTTTGCATGCATTCATGCGTTAATTGCATTGCACGATGAATTCATTCGTGTGACGAATTCTGTTTCACCCTAGATGTCCGAGAAAACCCATCTGTCGTCGAGCAGCTTTCCGACGGAGACGGTCAGAGGTCACCTTTCGGAGAACGGCGAAAATCCACCGAATGGTGGAACTCTCCTGTCAGAGGACGGCACTCGGCCATGCATCCGTTCTTCAGCAGGTGACCTTTGCCCTACGAGCGGCACTCGTCCCCCTCCGGAGTACAGCATACGCCCACTGGAGGACTCGACTCGCTCGGTGGAGGTCGACACTCGCTCTTCAGAAGATGCGACAACCCGTGGAGATCTGTCTGTATGTGACACGACCCGCCTTATCATGCAGTCGCAGAGGGTATCGGCGAGAGAAAGTGTCGACTCCGGCTCCTCTGAGACTGGAATCGAGCGGCATGTGTCAAACGATGTCTCGCGCGCTGATGGGGGTGTTAGATTTCCTTCCGGGGAGAACAGGAATACGGTTCAGCTCGGATTGGGTAGGGCGGGATCTGGAGTTTCAGTGAACTCGCAGTCACCGGTGGACGGTGAAGGTAGCTGTACGACCGGTGTCAGTGCGCCCACGGCTGGCGAGAGAGACTGTGGAGGGACTTCCCCAGCTGGTGAACATGTCTCTGAAGAACCTCCCGCAGCCGGCGGCGACATATCTAGTGTGAGGCCGGCGGTGCCGCGGCCCCGGTCCGCAGAGCCCGAGACGGGGGGTCCGGACCGCCCCCCGCCGGCGCCGACTCCTCTCAGGAACGGTCTGCACCTGCCGGTACAGGAGCGAGTGTCGAGCGGCCCGCCCAGCTCCCCCGGCGACGACCCGGGCTCCCCGCTGCGGCGCAGCAGCTCGCTCAGCCGCCAGCCGCGCTTCGAGGTCCGGCCGGCGCTCACCAAACAGCAGGTCAAGTACGCGCTGGCAGAGGGCGGCGACCACGCAGGTGAGCACGGGTGGACCGAGGTTATTTTTCTCTTGGCACACGCTAGGACTAACGACATTAGACCTTTGCTTGTATTCATGTTCGTCATTTCATTGTCTCCTACTGTCACTGCCACGGTCGGTTTTGAACGGTCTATTCGCCCCTGCTCTCTGTCCCATGTTGGCGGGAGTTAACCATCCGTTCAATGCAGTATTTCCCCTCAAGCCTGACTATTGGTCCTGTTTCGGCTCTTCGGCTCATGCCTGCTGTCTCCACCATGTTTGGTCTTTTCGCCCGCGTTTTCGGTTCCTACTGTATAACGTGACTCATCTGTGCCCCAATGCCGCGATTTGTGACCCGAGCCGACCCGGCAGAGGACACCCGGCTGGCGCCGCCGGACGGCCGCTGGGCCTGGATGGTGCTCGCCGCCAGCATGACCATCAACGTCCTCATCCCGGGCTTCATCAAGTCGTTCGGCGTGCTCTTCGACGAGGTGTGTGAGCGGTTCGACGCGTCGCCGGCGGCCGTCTCCTGGGTGCCGGCGCTCTCCTTCTTCATGTACAACTTCATGGGTGAGAGGCTGACCGGGCTAGAGGGAGGGGCGGGGCATCTGCACACGTCTCCTGCCATCGGTGGGCTCTGGGGTGGCAACAGAATGTTTCCTTTATTTAGTGCGAATATGACTGCATTGAAGGATTCGTTTTTGTTCCACTGAACGGTTCGCTGAGCTCATCCTAGCCGGTTCCAGCTTTTACCGGTGAGATTTATTGCTGAGGATAAGCATGCTTTTAATTTCATCAGCAAATATCAGCATTCATTTCATGGAGCTATGCTTCATATTAGTCTGTAATTAGTGGCAGGTGATATTCGATGAATGCATTCCATTGAAATGCTTAGCAATAATTAAGTCGAATTCATATTCTATGTATTGTTTATTGCTTTATGCTCCTGTTGTTTTTCCACAAGGTAATACTTGTAAATTGAACCGGCATGCCATCGGGACTCCAATGATTCGTCCATTTTTCACCGTTTGACACAGCACCCGTCCCCATAGCCTAAGTAGTCACATGACAGCTCTAGGTAGCAGCCACCGTCGGCGAGTCGGCGACACCGCCATTCTGGGTCCACACGACCGTCCGATCAATTGCTAATGGGCCAGCGTGATTCACACTGCGGCAATCGATACTGCGGCACGCGTTCCACCGCCCCCGCCTGGAAACCGCCCGGCCTGCTCGCCGCACCCCATCCCGCCCTCTAGCCATATCGGTCGACTTATAATCGCCCTGCTCCACCTCACTCTCTGGGCCCAAGATTACTTTCGAGCCAACCTGTGACCGCCCCCTCCCCGCTCCCCTCCCACCCGCTGCCCCAGCTCCTCCGGTTACCACCTCGCCCCTCCCTACCGATCGCATACCCCACAGACCGTCTCTCCTCCACACGCTGATATGAGTAATTAGCAGGCGGCTGGGTTCGCACGTGTCGACGCGCCGCACAGACCACTCGGCAGATGACGGTGCGGTCATGTGATACCGCGGTGTCTGGTGATGGTGCACTTGTCTGGTGTCGGGTGTCTGGCGCCATCTGTAATACTATACTGTTCGCCACCGACAGGTCTGGTGGCTGGCGCCATCTGCCAAAAGTACTCGTGCCGTGCCACGGCCACGCTCGGAGGTCTGCTCGCATCGGCAGGTCTGATCATCAGCTGCACTGCCGACCACATCTACTACCTCTACATCGGGTAAGGCGTACCAGCTCAGTCGCTACTTGTGACATCTTTTGCTTTGCTATCTCCCGGTTCTAATAAATGGATGCATGTGCATTTAGTGCAACGTGCATTGTGCGGTTCCTAATGATAAGCTCTTGGTCTCGTGGTTAACGATCGCATAATCTGTTTGATTTTGTAAAACGATATTTTGTTAAACCGGATGGCTCAGGTTCAACACCAGGGTCACAACTGATCACTGATATGAAGCAAGACGAAAACGCAAAACGCCGGAAATTGCGTTTGCTTCAGCCTTCAGATGCGGGCAGAAATGCTGAAATTCACATGAATGAGGGGGGGGGGAGGGCATGACGCGGCAGAGGGCCGAGTGCTCTGTGCGGGTTCTCTGCCGCATTCCAATGGTCGAAGGTTGTCGGAATGTGGTCTTCATCTCGTTGACGGTAGTTTAAACTCGGCTGAAAGTTAAAGTACTTATTATTTACCGGATATGATGAAGCGTTAGTGTGTGTTTCTCCGTTCCGTCGTTTCCATCCTCAGGATACTGTAATCCTTCTCCTCCACGCCGCAACTCCCACCCTGGGCTGGACAGGCACCTTTATCTCATGCGGGCTGCTCCCTTGGAGCGGCACCGCTGCTCCCGAGGGAGCACACCCCGTAGCCGGGTGCAGAAAGCGTTTAGGGGCTGGTCGGTCTGTCCATTCGGACGGGCTCAGCCCCGGTGACTCTCTAGGGTGTCTGCCGAGACCAAGGTCTCCCCCTAATTCCTATCATCCTTCCGGCTCTGAAAAATCGATGTGATCGGTTAAGCTTTGAGCCGTGAGGCCGTTACCCTTGGAACCACGTGGGTGCAGGTCGATGATGCGGTAGGGATGGCTGACTGCTGAGTCGTCCATGACTGAGGTCGACGACATCGGTTATCTATCGTCACGTTTTACGAGGTGCTTTATTGCAGCGTGGTATTGTGCGTAATTGATTTTGAATTGAAAGTAACCATGTCATTCCTTATTAAATGCGCTTAACTCCGGACATGCGATAGTTCTTGGGTGTCTGCAATCTACACCGCACTTATGCGCTGTGCGTTGCGATGCGGTAGTCGCCAATGCAACATCCGACCTCCATGGTAACCATCGGAACATGATAAATTGGGGGGGGGGGCGGGGCGGCCACCATTGCTGATCAGTCAATGATATTATATAACCTAAACGTGCCAGTCGCACGGAACATTGTATTCCAATGGGACTGTGGGAAGGACTACCCAGAGTATGAACTGCCCGTCATGCCTGCAGCGCTGCGGCCCCAGCGCGCTGGGGGCGTGTAGTTGCTGCCCCGTCCGACAGATGGCCTCAGACACCTGACGCCTGATGCATGCTGTACCGCAAAGCATAGTAGTTCATAACGCGGCCCATAGATGGCTCTCATGAACCGCCTGATGCATGCTGTGCCGCGCCCGCAAAGCACAGTAGTTCATGCCGCGGCCCATAGATGGCGTTCATGAACCGCCTGATGCATGCTGTGCCGCTGGGCACCGCCGTCTCGTATGGCCGTATGGGTACTGGCCACTGGGTAGCCGGTTCATTGCAGCCATAAGCAATAGCCTGTCTGGAGAAAGCGATCTATTTCTATTATTCGATATGTTCTATTAAAACCCGCGCCGGGCCGGGGGTGTTTGAACACCCCCCTGCGGTTTTTTGTAGATATCTCAAAAACGGCGGCGCTCCCCGCCGCCGTTTTTGGCACACCTGTTTGTGCATCTTTTCCGCACATGTTGTGAAAATTTCAGACCCAGGTCGCCTTAGGTCAGGTCACCAGGTCACGCCAAGTGACCTCACCTCAGAAAAAAATAAGAATGCTCGTCATAGCTACACCGATTGATCGATCGCCTTGAAACTTTCACCGATTGATTAGAGCAACATTATCTATGAAACGTATATCTCGGAATTTTGATATCGGTGATCTAAGGTCAGGTCAATGTTGCGGCCTCTCCATTATAAGTCAATGGGAGAAAATTGAAAAGCGTCTGTTTTGCACGAACGCTATTCTAGACACTCTCAAACATCGAGATGTAGGTAAGATTGACACACTGAACCAGAAAATGGCAACTGTGACCCCTCGTTATGCCCCCGAGGTCATCTCAGGTCACGACCGAATCTTACAGTTTTTTGCTAATAACTTCTGATAGAGGCGTGCTAGAGCGCTGAAAACGCCTTAGATGTGTTCGGCTCGACATTGCGGATCGACTGATATGCAACATGACCTTTTCCGGTCAGGTCATGACCTTGACCTGAGGTCAAATTTTCCAGTTGACCGTTCAAGGTCAAATTATAGTTCATTCGACGCGTCTCGACGAGAGGAACACGATGCTGGCAAAAGTAATGTCATGGCTCTTTTGAGTCAAAAGTTATTGATAATAAAAGTTTTTCGTAAAAACGGCTTTTTTGGAGTTTTTGCCCCCTGGAGGCTAAACCGTTGACCTGAAGTCAAATCTGAGAACATTACTCAGAAAGGTCTGTAAAAGGGCTATCGAATGCGCTTTTCTGCGGCGCTGTAGCTCTATCGGTTCCCGAGATAGCCGTTGGCAGTTTCCAAAATGTTGAAATAGTCAACATTTTACCTTTGGTGACCTCGGGTGACCTGACCTTTGACCTGACCCAAAAAATGAGCGAAGTGTTTTCGTCCTTATTTTGGACGTTCTTTCGATTGCCACTTACTGCGTGTCGCTACGTGGCCCAGGAGCCGAGTTAGAAGGGGGGGGGGGTGTTTAGACACCCCCCCCCCGGCCCGGCGCGGAATCTCAGAGCACCGGCCCGGCGCGGGTTTTCTTAGCTCCGCGTTCTTTTTACGCTTCGAAATGAGAGGATTTTGCATGAAAAAGTATACCTACACCGGTAATTTTGTTGTTGTTGTAAAATCGGTTACCGAGCATTAAGCTACTTCATCGATGCATCAGCATGTGATGCAGATGCAGAGCGGGGAATTATCTGCGTGACTTGTAACTCAAATTGCTATGGTAAGTGCCGCTTCCAACGTATGAGGTCCTTCTTACACCGTCAGGGACCTTCTGTGGAGAAGGAAACTAGACTTCCCACTCCTCGATGTAGGCCCCAATTCCCTATCTTGTCTACTACTCTAGATTCTCTTTTTACCGTCTGGTTCACTTGTATGTCTTCGGTCTGGGTGTCTGGGGCGCTCAGTAACACGGAACCGTCGGCTCTTGGCCGTCGGCCACCCGGTCATGTTACGGCGTCCCGACACCTCATAAAACCTATGCTCTCGGAATATACTTACTCACTTCTCCGCCACCGTCTTTGCCGAGAGCAGCGCCGGACCCGTCTCCGAGGGCGTCTATTCAGGCGTCGTACACTTCTAAGGCCAGCTGCGCCTATCCTACGTTTTCTTAGTGCTTTCTCTGTCCCTTTTGACGATGTTTTAGTCTTTTCTAACGATTTCCTGGAGCTTTCTAACGATGTCCCTGCCCCTTCTAATGCCGCGCTCGATCCTCCCACTAACACTGCTTTCTCTTCGTCTTCTAACACCCGGTCGGTCGGTCAGACTGGGCCTGATGGGCGGCTGCGGCGGCTGTTTCGTCTACTGCTCCGGTATCCTGGTGGTGGGCAGCTACTTCGAGCGGCGCCGCGGCCTCGCCAACGGTCTCTGCGTGTCGGGCAGCGCGCTGGGAGCCATGGTGTTCCCGCCTGTGCTTGACCTGATGCTCGAGCGGCACGGCTTCAGGTTAGTCCTATCCATTCGACTTACTGACGACGCTGGGAAAGGACTGTGTCAAATCGCAGAAGCGGTGGCAGCTATGCAGATTTTAAAATGATAGGTAGTGTGATTACGCTAGCATTGCAAAGCATGGGGTTACGTTAGAGTTGGCTTGTAGACTTGCAAGCCCATTTTGACTGGGTTCGTGGATTGCATGGTGTGTCGTTTCGGGAACTAGCGACCCGCGGCCGGGCGCCGCGGAGACGTGCCCGCCATAGGGTTTTGGGGCTATTTTTTCACGTTTCGGTCTGAATCGTGAAAAGTACTGGTCGTAGCAAATATGTTCCCTGGTTTCTGAATTTTCAGCCCACGTGGAATGCGATAGGACAAAAGTCATTTTCGTACAGACAAAACTGTGCCCGCGTTTTTTGGTCAAAGTAAAAATGTTCAGCAGCTTTTAACACGTGGGCCGCCGCAAAACAGGGTACACTGGAGGACTTACGATTCAATATCTCCTAAGCCATCAAAGATAGCAAATATGTTCCCTGGATCTATGTAGATAATACTTTAGAGAACACTTCAGGCCAAAAATTGTTTCGCGACAACTTACACCCAGCCCGCGTTTTTGGCTTAAATGCAATGCAACACGGCAGCCGACCTTGAGGGCTCAGTTAGCGAGTTCATTTTTTAGCGAGCACTTCGAGCATTTCAGCGTTCGATGAAATGACATATTTTTTCAACGCAGTCGTTTCTTTATTTGCATCTAAACGCGACCTATATGATAATGTGACTGTATCGTCACACTAGAAGGTGTAATTCATGGTAATTTATAGGGCTAATTCTCGGCGCACAGCAGCAGACGGACACCGAGTGACCCACCATCTAAAGGCAGTTTGGCGAAGCAGTATCGTGAATCACAGCCGCGAGATGTCCCTAGCGTAGAGCACCGTCTGTTTGCCCAGTTTAAATACGTGATGTTTGCCCTCTGTCAACCCCTCAGTCATGGGTCTGGGGTCGCGGATGAATGGGCGACCGCCCGCCGCGCGGGGAGGGGGCTGCTCCCCTGACCCGGACCGCCACGGCATGGGGACGGTCCCGCACTTGCGTGCCTCACGTCGCCGCCTCACACCGGTCTGAATTACGATGGTTTTGAGGAACCGCCCATTGTGGTGGTGGGTGATCCAACGCAGACCATGCCAGAACCCCACTGAGAGGGTGTCACCCATGTCAGCTGGCTCAGACCCACGATATCGCCATACCAAAAGCGACGTTCCAAAGAGTAATATGCCTTTAGTGGGTATTATTGATGTTTAATTCGAGAATGTATGCATGCATGTCAACACATACCTACATGATGTGTTAAAGTACCTACTCCCAGTGGCGGATCCAGGATTTTCACTGGGGAGGGGCTGCAGGTCATAATTGGGCGCCACGCCCCGGATGGGCGCCATAGTCGCATCGTATTGGCGCTGAAATATTGGCGCCCAGTGGCCCTGACAAGAGGCGCCCAGGATCAGTATGTACAGTGACACCACACGATTGGAAATATCGGTGCGGAGCGTACTGAAACGACGTTATTCGACTGATTTTTGCATCCTAGTCCTAGTATGCGGCACTCCGATGAGTTGCGAATTGAAAATTGGCGCCACTGCGCCTTCGGCGCAGTGGCGCCAGTTTTCCTTGGGTGGGGGCTGCCAGCCCCCGCAGCCCCCCCTGGATCCGCCACTGCCTACTCCAACTGTACAACTTTGGCCTCTCAGCTCGAGGAATAAACCTTTTTACTTTAAAGACAGATTTTTAGTGACTTAACACTCGCACTTACATATAGCGGGGTCGAACGGACCCCCTCCCGGTTTTTCGCGAATAATTCGCGCAGAAAGCGGCCGATCGCGACGAAACTTTCAGTACCCTCGATTTAATCAATTTTACACATACTCTTAAAATTTAATGACCCTGACCCCAATGACCTTTGACCTGTGGTCTGATTCTCGAGACCATGTTCGGCCGGAATTGCGAATTGGCGTATGTCGGCTGAGGCTCACATTATCCGTGCAATTTCCAATCTTTTTTTTGGTGTGGGTTTCAAGGTCCCGTGAAGGTCAGGTCAAAGTCTTTGACCTTTGATGACCTTGCTTCACTATTTCAAGTCTTACATGCTTCTAGGGTAGTTTCTGGGGCTGATTTCGAATTCCCATTTGGAGATTTATGAAATAGTTTTGGTGCCCTCGCATGCTACGAAGCTGTCAATAGTGGCATAGGCGGCGGAACGGGGGGGGGGGGCACCGGGGCACCGTGCCCCCCCTTGAATTCTGCAAGGGGGGCACCAATAGCAAGGTGCCCCCCCTTAAATTTGATGTATTAGTACCAGGGGCGGATTCGGGAAAACTCCAAAAGGAAGGTCATGAATCGAAGTGGTGCCCCTACCTATACCCAAAATTAAAACCTCAACGGATTTCGGCCACTCAATTTTGGTGGTGCCCTATTTTCAGTTTTTATATTTTCTTTATTTTTGGTTAGTCATGTGATGACTGGTGCCCCTGCTAGGCCGCTGGTGCCCCTGGAAATACTGTGGAACCTAACTACTCTGCCCCCTGACAAGCCTACGGTGGGCCCTGACATGACTTAGGTGCCCATGGGCCCTGACAGGCCCGTGGTGCCCCTGACAGGCCTGTGGTGTCCTTGCTAGGCCTGTGGTGTCCCTGGGCCGTGGCAGGTCTGTGGTGCCCCTGGCGAGCCTGTGGTGCCCCTGTTAGAACGCAGGTGCCCTTGACAGGTTTGTGGTGCCCCTGGCAATCCTAAAGTGCCAACGACAGGCTTGTGGTGCCCTTGACAGGCCCATGGTGCCCTTGCGAGGCCGGTGGTTCCCCTGCGAAGCCGATAGTGCCCCTGGCAGGCCTCTGGTGTCCCTGGCAGGTCTGTGGTGCCCCTGGAAGACCTGTAGTGCTTTTGCTAGGCCGATGGTGCTCCTGACAGGCCTGTGATGCCACTGACAGGCCCGTGGTGCCCCTGCTAGGCCTGTGGTACCCCTGGCGGGCCTGTGGTACCCCTGTCGGCTGTCAGGCCTGTGGTGCTCCTGGCAGGCATGTGGTGACCCCAGGCCCTAAGTCATGACCCATGTGACCTCCCCCCTGGGATTCGCCAATGATTAGTACCTACTGCGATGGCTTCTTGGGAATTTGATACATGTAGGATAAATGGAATTTATCAAACGACAATAAGGAAGAGACAAACACATAGGTACTTGAGGATCAGCTAAAAGTTAACCACACATACGGGGGTGAACTGCCATTTTCGTTTAGTAAAAAAAAAAAAATAAAAAAAATCATCGTGTCAGGGCTGTGACGAAAAATAAGTGGCCTTAATTCGATGAGAAAACAGGATTTGGGGGTACCCTAGGTTAGGCTCCTCGAGCTGGTGCCCCCCCTTGTCTCAAATCGTTCCGCCGCCTATGAATAGTGGTCAACACCTGCTATGGATGGCCGGCAGGTCACCTAATGGTTGACCTGACCTGACCTGACCCGACCTGGCCTAAATACATTAACCCGGCAGTTGCTGGGGTATTTCGCCACCCACCGTTTGCTGGGGGGGGGGGGGGGGCGTTAAACGCCCCCAGCCGATAACTCGAGAACCAATAGGCGCAGCGAAACGCACGAGGAGGCGGCAAACGAAAGAACGCGACAAGACGCTTCAGATGAGTACTTTAAAGTTGAATTTTGAGGTCACAGGTCGGGTCAAGGTCAGGTCAAACACCTAAAATCGGGCTTTCAGTAGCATGGACTTCAGTACTTCGCAATGGGCGCCTCTCGTCAGTAACTCTGTCAAACGGTGCACAATCCATCATATAAGGCCTACAAGAGTGTCGGCTTCATGTAGGGGTCAGTCAAGCATAGGTCAGGGTCAAGGTCAGTTCAACCGGGTAGGCACATACCTATCCCCGAAAATCAAAACTGATATTCGCAGCCCGTGACACATGTTTTATGGGTAATTTTGGGCGTAGAACACGAATGTGACATTCATTTTATCATATCTGTACGTGTTTGGCTCAAAAAGTTCAATTTAAGAAATGCATGTATCATGGTCGTGAAGAAGTCACGAGAAATTGCCAAGATTTAGTTCAAGATTTTGGAAAATGCGGAACGATAATCAATAATCGAAGATAGCCATTTGATTGTTCATGGTATTGGCAGTCTAATCGCGTTTACGGCATGTCTGTATGTCTATTTTGTGATTTTATATGATTTTTTGAACATATGCCGTTTTTGGTCGAAAACTCAGAAATCATGACGTCACTAAAACCTCGATATCTCAAAAATTTTCCGACCGATTTTTTTTTTTTGAAACTTTGTCACAATAAACTTCAATCAATTCCCTACAGGTACCCAAAATTTGGCGCGCCTGCGGCGCGTTGTTTTTATGCTATAGCCCGGCGAAAAAAAAGTGGGGGCGTTTAACGCCCCCCCCCCAGCAACTCGCGGGTTAACCCTCGCCAGGCGAGGGCCTTTTCCATAACACGGACGGCGAGGGGGGTTGGTACGACCCCCCTCTCGCGATTGGCTCCTATAGCACTTAGAAACGCCAAATTTACAAGGTAGGTGGGCCCATAGAAGATCTCGCCCCTGTGAAAGTTTGGTGACTCTAAGTCAATATTTAGGGGGGTTTTGGGGGGTATGAGTGCAAAAATTTTGCTCAAACATGTTAAAAGTTTTTCGCTTATAACTTTTTACCTAGTAAATATAAATAAAAAATAAAAGCTCCAGTGAACTCAGGACGTCCGTGCGCATCGAATGATATACTTTGTTACCAATTTTATTGAACTCTGGAATTCAGTTGCCGCTAAGCTAGTCCAATTTCCCCTGACCTTGTACCGGTTTTTGTGACCTGGTGACCTGACCTGAAAAGACTGGGACTTCAAATTTTCAGGAAAGGTGCGAAAATGTTGCCCCAGAGGGTAGGGGAGAGTGGTGCAGGAGGCCCCCCCTTAAGCTCAGTTACTATTTTTAGACAACTGATAATATTTAAGCGCTAAC